ATAATTTTTTTATAGAAAAATTTCAGTTGGGAATAAAAAGACCCAAAGCAACTAGGTCTTCTGATCCATTTAAGCAATTGAAGCTCCACTAAGAAGTCACTTCAAAAGTGGTTGCAATTACAGGGTGACTGTAATACGAACATAGTTTTTAGTAGTGTAATATTATGTTGAAGAGATTTTTATTACTTTATCCCCAACAGTATGCTGGCTGCAGAGAGAGCCTCATTTTCTTCATTCAAGTAATTATAGTTGCTCTGAGCCTTGGGAATCTGCAGTGGAAATATATTTGTGAAAACAAGTGGGACATCACAGTAACTTGACATTTCAGTGATCCAACTGTTCAAGACAGATTTATTACATAATAAAGATCCTTTTGCTTAATATTGCAGCAATAGGAGGGACCCACATCAACTGCACAGGTCCTTTTGTTGAAAAATGTTCACTGAACAGAACTGGAGCAATAAGTGGGAGAGCAGGAGCATAGAGTATGCTGAGGGATTGCAGAGTCTTGGGGGGCAAGCCCAGGGGTGCTGCTGTTCTAAGGAGGCTGCTGAAAATGAGGAGTTCTTGGTGAAAGCACAGAGTACTTGCTGGTTGTCCGTCGCCTTCTCGTAAATGAGAACTAGTCCAGGCTGCTTGCACACTTTCAACTTCCTTCTGCAACACTAAACTTATTCCACCACAAGTACCTATGAAATTGCATAAAGCTCAGACAATGATTTTATGCAATGAATTGATTTTCAAAAATCTAAACGCCCACAATGTAATAGGCTCAACCAGAAGAAAAATAAGAATTACTGAAGCTTTGATCACCCCAGTGTGGAAAGTAACAACTAAAGAGAATGGAAAGACAAAATATATAAGCACCATAAATTAAGGGTATTTAGGCCATCAAATGCTGTAAAATTGATCTTCCTTTGAAAAAAATAAAACCATTTTCTATAGGAATATATTCCAAATCTGAGCCATTAGAAGAGATCTGAACTGTGTGGTTGCCAAGTCTCCCCACGCTCATGTCAGACATAGTTGCATATTATTTACCTCATATGTCATAAATGCAACTGAGACTGACATTTGTGTCCACCTCCCATTGAAAATCCAATGATATTTAGCTAGGGTATTCCTAGAAACAGCATTTATACACATACCAAACCAATAGTAATTTCATATAGCACTGCCCTAGAACATGGGCTCCAGATTTAGCTGGCTTCTCCAGAGTTAACTTCTGTAAGTCACATCAGTGGCACTCTTGATTATCAGTTATTTATGTTTTCAAGAAAGTGTGTTTTTGTTTACATACCCTAGTCAGTCCTCCTGCCCAGAGCAAATGTGGGGCTAATGCATTCAGAAGATGAGGATACCAATGACTTTGGGACTTTCTGAAGGGTAATACTGATTCCACTTGAGCTTGTCCTTTCTCTTCAAAGGTATGCAATGAGGCTAAAGAACTTTGCAAGCCCCATGGCTTCAGATGGGGACAAAAAGTTGGCAGTATTATGGTAAGTCTCATGGAGGCCAAGAGAAAATGCCAGAAATGTCACAGAACAATTTGAAAACTCCAGATCAACTTTAAGCTACTTAGCCCAGATCATTATTGTTTGCCATTAAACCCTTAAGAGATAATTAATGGATTTCACCAGTCCCTTACTTAAACGTTTACTCCCCTGATTTATATTCTTATCAAGATGGGATTTTAATGCTTACCCCTTCTCTTTTAATTTTTTAATACTTATGTTTCTCAGCAACTGTAGAAAGGTAACTTAAAAATATGAATCAGCATTTTTTTTACAGCTTATCAGTTTCTTTAAGCACTGGCATTAACATAATCCTTTCCTCATCACCACAGCTACCGATGTTTATCACTTCTCTATTTGCGGATGTTTAAACTGAAGAAGGACCATGCTATGAAGTACTCCAGATCCCTGATGGAATATTTTAAGGTAATCCTTATTTTGTATAATTTATAGGTGTTGAGTGATTAAATCACTAATAAGACTGAGAAGTCGTGTTATTAAATATCAAGGTTGTTGCTGATATTTAACCTCCCTCATCCCAGCAGGCCGTAGTCCTCCTACCTCTTTGCATCAGTAGAGACCTTATGTTTGATTTGATTCCGGGGAGAGAAGGTGCAACAATACTGTAATCCCCTGGTTATTCTCTGAACTGACCAAATGGCCTTTGGCGGCTTTCCAGTTACAGTCAGAGGGATGATGTCTTCTGCCCCATCCTGCATGGTGGACCCACCAGAAGACACAACTTATGTCTGTGACTGTGGCCAGTCTTGTGTTAAATGAGAAACTAGTCCAGAAATTTCTCACCCCATGGCCCCTGTGACCATGAGGAGTTTTGAAGTACAGTGGTTGAACTTTAATACAACTGATTGCTTTGGTTACCAAAACCAACAAAAATACAGATAACAAATACATAAATCTACCATCTAGGGAGCTGAAATTTTTAATTTGCAAGGTATATATATCAACCTCAACATGCAATGCCAAAATTTGGGAGTGAACCTGGATGAAAACTGCAAACAGTAGCCTGGTGCTAGGCCTGGCCACTGTAACAGAAATAACTGGCTTGAGCATCCGTGGAGCTTGTGCTGCTTCTGTCCCCCAACACTGGTTATGATATAGAATTGAGGAGACTCAGGGCTCCTGTTGGGCTAGTCTAAAAAGAAAATATCTATCTGTCATCTATCTATCTATATCTATCTATCTACCTATCTATCTATCATATCTATCTATCATCTATCTATCTATCTATCTATCATCTATCTATCTATCATCTATCTATCTATCATCTATC